CTCTGAAAATGGGCGGGAAGTTCATGCTGAACGGTGATTGGCTGATCGACTGGCCGGGGGAAGTGGAGGCAGGAGGAACTTCCTTCACCTACAGCAGAGCTGAAGATGACTCCGAGACCTTGTCTACGCTGGGACCAACCACAGACAACCTCACATTAATGGTAATGGAAAACTGGGTGTTGAAGGCACTACTGAATAGTGTTAGGTTAGGTACTGTTCGTCAGGAAACAGGACAAGTGTTTCCTGACGTGGGTCTTAGATGATAACTCGCCGTTGGAGCTTTTCGTCATCTGAGTGAGGCCTTCCGCTGGCTTACCGGTCCACCCCTTTAAAAATTATGGTCATAGTTATAACCATTTATATGATGAAATAGTGTTACTCTTGTGTTTTTAATGGGAAAAATGGCTCCGTTAAGCTAGAAGATGATTTACAACCAGTTAAGGTCATCACTTGACAGGTACCTAATGCTTCACTAGTTATATGAATCATCATTTGTATATAACATTCGTGGGGGAGCGCTAAACCCACAAGGATCACCCAATCTTTAGGAATGGGAGGCATTCGGGTTTGATGCGACAAAGGGGAGGGAGGATAAGTCCAGTTCCTTGGATCAAGACACCATCCCTGAAGAGAATGCAAGGGAGAGATGCACCTTTAGGTGTATATATATTTTGGAATATATTGATATGAATATATGGATATGTATATATGGCTATGCAAAAAAACACGAGGGGAGGGGGCTTTGAATGATAGCTCCAGGCATTTCGTGTTGCAATCAGCACATCATCAGGAGCTTGCAGTGTTGCAGAAATTACAAGGAAGTCCAGGCATATTTGTTTCCCTGAAGGAATCTGCTTGGACTTCCTACTCATTTCTGCAACATTGCAAGTTCGTGATGCATTGATTGCAACACGAGACGCCTAGAGCTATCATTCAACTCCCCCCGTGGTTGTTTTGCATCTTGTATCGCTTGTTCTCGATTATTGCATAATATGTGGATATGTATAAACAAAAAGATGGACGGGGGGAAAGGGGAGAGAGGGATCGAACCTCTGCCAGTAACTTAACAGGTAGCCACTGTTGGAGAGCCCTGTCCATCTCTCTGTTTTCTCATTATTACCTCAAACTCCTGATCCTCACAATTCTTCTGCTGTATAGCCCTTGTGGCTTAGCGCTTCTTTTTGATTATAATAATAATCACCATTCTTCTTTGCTGAAAATGGTATAGAATACCGACAAGTTGAAGATTAAGACACATGCGCAACAGTTGGGTATCTTTATCGTTGAAACGTTTGGCCTACACAGTAGGCTTCTTCAGTCAAATACGAAGGGAGCAGTAGAGATCAAATAAAAATGATGTAATCAGTCCATCAACCTTGGAGAAAAAGTATTTAAGGTGGTCAGTCCCTCAGCCTGAAGAAAAGTTCCAGACCATGGAAATGATCTCTTCTCCAGGCTGAGGGACTGACCATCTCAAATACTTTTTCTCCAAGGTTGATGGACTGATTACATCATTTTTATTTTATCTCTACTGCTCCCTCCGTATTTGACTGAAGAAGCCTACTGTGTAGGCGAAACGTTTCATCAATAACGATACCCAACTGTTGCACATATGTCTTAATTTATGAACTAAAATCCGAATTCATGGAAATGTGTATATACACACTGTATTGTGCCTTTTTGTTCTTTGTGTATATATAGCTTAAGTGTGTTCATGAGTGTTCACCGAGTGTTCACCCATGGTGTGTGCTGGCAGGTGTTGCTGAGGGAACACAACCCTGGGATCCACTATGAGTACTGGACCCCGAACACTGAGATCACACTACCACCAGGACCACACCTCTACTCCTAGTCTCGCTACCCCAGGATGTCTCCAATACTACCAGTACTACCACCACTACAACCACCACTATAACCACCACTACCACATCTCCCACAACCCCCAGCACCTATTCTAGCAACCTGATAACCACAACTACAACAACAACGCCCCGACCAGCGGTACTAACAAGTGTCAATAAAACGAAGATACATCGGCCACTTCCACCGCCTCGCCGATCAGACAACGAAGTGCACATAACATCACCGATGCGCAAGCCAAAGAAACCGATCAAGATTAAAGACGGGAAGAGACACAAAGGGGAGAAGCAGAAGGGGAAGCGGGGCCAGAAAGGAAAGGGGAGAAAAGACAAGATAGCCAAGAAGAAGCGAGGGAAGAAGGGAAAAGTTGGTAAAAAGGAACCAGAGGTGCCAGCTGTGTGTGCCCCGTGTGAGAAACCAAGACAACAGACCAAGCAAATGTTTTGCACTAGCGACTTCGGTGAGTCAACATTTTAGATTGAACCACACGGGTGTACTCCCTCACGTAATAATAATAATAATAAAAATAATATTATTATTATTATTATTTATTATTAATTATTATTAACAAAATAATAATGGTAATAGTAATTATAATAATAATAAGTTTAATAAATTATAATAGTGGTAATAATAACAATACAGAACTAAGGACTACCAGAGGTCCATGTAGGCAGAAAGTTCTGTACATCAAGCTCTTTTACAAAGCTCCTCTATATGCCACGATCGTTTTGGAAATACGATGAAAAAGTTAATCCAAAACTCCTTCACAGTAATATAAGAAAGTTTATTTATATTCACTCCTGAAAGAATTTCAGGATTTTTCCCCCACACATGTTATTATTTTCCCCATACTCACCATTATTTTCTCCATACCTGCCATTACTTTCCCTACACCCACCATTATTTTCCCAACACCCACCATTATTTTCCCCATACCTGCCATTACTTTCCCCACACACACCATTATTTTCTCCATACCTGCCATTACTTTCCCCACACCCACCATTATTTTCCCAACACCCACCATTATTTTCCCCATACCTACCATTACTTTCCCCACACCCACCATTATTTTCTCCATACCTGCCATTACTTTCCCCACACCCAAAATTGTTTTCCCAACACCCATCATTATTTTCCCCATACCTGCCATTACTTTCCCACACCCACCATTATTTCCCCAGCACCCACCATTATTTTCCCCATACATGCCATTACTTTCCCTACACCCACCATTATTTTCCCGACACCCACCATTATTTTCCCCACACCTGCCATTACTTTCCCTACACCTACCATTATTTTCCACACACCCGCCATTACTTTCCCCACACCCACCATTATTTTCCCACAACCAACATTATTTTCTCACACCCACCATTATTTTCCCCACACCCACCATTATTTTCCCCACCCACCATTATTTTCCCCACACCCACCATTATTTTCCCCACACCCACCATTATTTTCCCCACACCCACCCTTATTTTCCCCATACTTGCCATTACTTTCCCCATACCCATCATTATTTTGCCAAAACCCACCATTATTTTCCCCACACCCACCATTATTTTCCCCACACCTGCCATTACTTTCCTCACACCCACCATTATTTTCCCCACACCCACCATTATTTTTCCCACACTTGCCATTACTTTCCCACACCCACCATTACTTCTCCACACCCACCATTATTTTCCCATACCTGCCATTACTTTCCCCCACACCCACCATTGTTTTCACCACACCCACCATTATTTTCCCCACACCTGCCATTACTTTCCCCACACCCACCATTATTTTCCCCACACCCACCATTATTTTCCCCACACCCATCATTATTTTCCCCACACCTGCCATTACTTTCCCTACACCCACCATTATTTTCCCGACACCCACCATTATTTTCCCCATACCTGCCATTACTTTCCCTACACCTCCATTATTTTCCACACACCCGCCATTACTTTCCCCCACACCACCATTATTTTCCCACAACCAACATTATTTTCTCACCCACCATTATTTTCCCCACACCCACCATTATTTTCCCCACACCCACCATTATTTTCCCCACACCCACCATTATTTTCCCCACACCCACCCTTATTTTCCCCAACTTGCCATTACTTTCCCCATACCCATCATTATTTTGCCAAAACCCGCCATTATTTTCCCCACACCCACCATTATTTTCCCCACTCCCCATTATTTTCCCCACACCTGCCATTACTTTCCTCACATCCACCATTATTTTCCCCACACCCACCATTATTTTTCCCACACTGCCATTACTTTCCCCACACCCACCATTACTTTCTCCACATCCACCATTATTTTCCCCATACCTGCCATTACTTTCCCCCACACCCACCATTGTTTTCACCACACCCACCATTATTTTCCCCACACCCACCATTATTTTCCCCACACCCATCATTATTTTCCCCACACCTGCCATTACTTTCCCTACACCCACCATTATTTTCCCGACATCCACCATTATTTTCCCCATACCTGCCATTACTTTCCCTACACCTACCATTATTTTCCACACACCCGCCATTACTTTCCCCACACCCACCATTATTTTCCCACAACCAACATTATTTTCTCACACCCACCATTATTTTCCCCACACCCACCATTATTTTCCCCACACCCACCATTACTTTCACCATTTTCTGGAGATACTGAAAATTTACAAGAATACAGTATTTTTGACAGCCCCTGCGGATTTAGTTCTTCCTCATAAATGTAATGATGTGAATCTAATGATTAATCTAATGATATTGTTAGTAGTAGTAGTAGTAGTAGTAGTAGTAGTAGTAGAGGTTGTAGTAGTAGGGTTTTCAACTTCCAGTTGTGTTCCCTTGTATTTTGATCCGAGGAAGAGGAAGGTATAGTAGCTGTAAGCCTCTGCAACAAGAACCCTTCACTGGCATGTGTTCTTGTGTCAGGTGTCAGTAACAGCAATGTTTTGTCCACAGTGTCGCGTGTGGAGGTGCTGGGCAGCGAGACGGTGGGCGGGGAGCGCCGCTACGAGGTATTGGTTCATCAGTCTTACAAAAACACAGTGCCTCTGCTACACAAGGAGTTCCTTTGGGTCACCAACCCTTGCCAGTGCCCGCTGCTGCGTCATGGCCGCTCATACCTGGTCATGGGCATCACGGAGGTCACAAGAGGTCGCGAGGTGCGCCTGGTACTCACCAGAGGCAGCTATGTGCGCCGCTACAAGCCCCAAAATTTGGCCAGGATTCTGCGCATCAGGCATAATGAGATGCGCTTCTGTAGGCCATGGAGGAGAGATCTGAGATTTGTCCAGCCAGCAGCCCTCAACGAAACTGATTTGAATGCAACTTAGCCCCCTCTCACTCCTACCCATGCCACTAGCTAGTCTACTTCCCTCCGTCTAGGAACAACCACCTAGCCCCTTCTCGTCTGTCTGGATGACACCTAGCCCAAAATCACCCGTCTGAGGTGGCACCTCAGATATCAGAGCATAAACAGACCTTCAGGGTAGATCCTGATGGCTCCCTTAAAGCCACCGAGCACATTAGGCTGCTTAGTGAGAGCTAATGACACCTAGTGTTGAATTATTAAGTCACAAGAACAGTCTTGACATGACCGAGTCACACAGCACCAAACGGCAGGGAGAAAGGTGTATGCAGGGAGAGGTGAGTACAAAAGAGAAATATCAGAGATGGTGCAATAAGCCAGTTTCGTCTAACAGATCGTAGAGAGAATCATCGCTATGCATGGAAGTGGCCTAGTGAAGAGGCGCTGAGAATGCCTCACAGTGATGTGTTACCCTCATCACTTAGGAGACAACAAAAGTGCTAGACCAAAGAGAATGAGATATAAGTGATATATATATATTATATATATATATATATATATATATATATATATATATATATATATATATATATATATATATATATATATATATATATTGATCGGACGCATTAAAAGCACGTGGGTCATTCAGCGGAAGGAGTGGTCGATAATATAGATGACCGAGCAATATATTAATCACCTTGAAGAGTGTACGAACCACTCACTGAATGTCACAGTGAAGATAGTACTTCTTGGGGAATGTAGTTGTGTGAAGAATATAGTCATTTCCTAAAAAAAAAAAAAACTGTAGTATGACCTTAACAAAGGTAGTGGCTGTCTAAAGAATGTAGTAGCAATCTAATAAATTTAGCTATGGCTTGAAAAAGTATAGGATTGCATTAAGGAACATAAAGGGTGCCAGGATGTAAGAAGGCGACTTCAGCAGTTATGGCTGAGATATGCAGCTAGCATAACTTCCAGCACTGTTTACACATTAACGTCCAGTGTCAGCCCAAGACTGACATCCACTACTGCATCCAGACTGATGTCAAGTGTTGCACACAGACTGACATCCAGTGCTGCCCCCACGACTGACGTCCAGTGCTGCTCATGGACTGACATCAAGTTCTGCTCTAGGCTGATGTCCAGCGCTGCCCCGAAACTGATGTGCCTGTCTCTGGACTGACTTCAAGTTCTGCTCCAAGCTGACTTCCAGTGCTTCCTCTGGACTGACGCCGATAGCAAGAGGACATTGCATCTTGATCAGTGTGGTGCCAAGTGCCTAGTCAGTGTGTCAGTGCACCATATAAAAGCCACAGTATTGACGCCTGTCTGACAATAGACATTTCTCCAGACATACATCGAACATTAACCAAATTGACATGATAAGTTGTTAGTGATCCGAGAAATGCAGACTGAAGAAAGAGGAAAAACTCTGTGAGTAGGCAGAAGTGAGAGGATACAACTGTTAAGTAAAGAAGAGGACGTTCATACACTGCTGAAGAGGGTCTCTTAGTGAGACCGAAATATGCAGCTATCTCTTACCTGTGTTTAATATTTCTGTCTTGCTACTTGTTCATTTTGCGTCACTCAGTGTTTATGACACTTAAATTCAAGCTAACATACACACACACATTGTGCCTCGACAGTCGCCAGTATTAGCCGAAAAAATAAACTTTTTACTGTCAGGTGAAACGTAAGAACGAAGCTGAACGTTGCAAGTGAACGTCAGACAGTTTGTGCGACCCCTCACAGTTGAACCATTCGAAGAAGAAATGGTAGATGAAACAGTAATAGTTACCAGAGATCTTGTGAGATAATGAAAGTGTTAACATGTGCGAAACCGACCTAGTAGCTTCCTAGCAAGAGGCTCAGCTATGTAGCACAAGCCGTTGTGCGAGTTGAAATTGATGAATGTACCGACAAGTGATGATCCCCCCCCCCCCACCGAAAAAAAAATAATCCACACTATCAAAATTTGCCCCGGTGAAGCTGGTGTAGACCAGCACACACATGCTATGTTGCTCAAAAACTATGTTTAAACTTTTTTTTTTAGTGAAGATTACGAATGTTTTGATCACGTGTGAATAGATAATGTCCTTGCTGAAGCGTTTGTGGTGCTGGAGAGAGTGCTGTTGTGTGCCCTGGCGGTCACATTGATCGTGAGCGAAGAGGTGTGTGTGGCGTGAGGCGTGTGTATGGTATCAAGGTGGTGGTGTTGTTTCTATGTATTGAGGAGTATATATGACTTGCTGATGTGCGTGATGGACTGAGTTGTGACACAGAGACACGAGAGACGTGACTGTGGCCAAGTGAAGCGCATTTGTGAAACGCTTAATGCATTTATGACCAGTTGAAGCGTGTCTGTGACACGCTAAATGCATTTGTGACCAGTTGAAGCGTGTCTGTGACACACTTAATGCATATGTGACCAAATGAAGCATGTCTTTGACACGTTTAATGCATTTGTGACCAGTTGAAGCGTGTCTGTGACACGCTTAATGCATATGTGACCAAATGAAACGTATCTGTGACGCCTGATGTATTTGTGATCAATTGAAGCATATCTGTGACAAGCTTAATATTTTTCCCTATTGAAACGTGTCTTTGACATGTTCAATGCATTTACGACCAATTGAAGCAAATGCGTAACACGCTTATTGCGTTTCTGACCAACTGAAGTGTGTCTGTAACACGCTTGATGCATTTATGTAAAAAGCAACATTGCTGACGAGTACTGAAGCCGAGACACAGGTTGCTGAATGACTACAGGGCGAAACGTTGTCCCAATAAACGATTGTCTAGCAACGTCTGTCTTTATCTACTCGTGACATAGCGGAGACACACATATATAGAAGACAGAAAGTCCAGGGATGGTGTCCCAGACTTGCCTGGCGACCTGACTCACCAGACCTGCCTGGCGACCTGACTCCCCAGACCTGCCTGGCGACCTGACTTCCCAGACCTACCTGGCGATCTGACTCCCCAGACCTGCCTGGCGACCTGACTCACCAGACCTGCCTGACAACCTGACTCACCAGACCTGCCTGGCGACCTGACTCCACAGACCTAACTGGCGACCTGACTCCCCAGACTTGCCTGGCGACCTGACCCCCACACCTACCTGGCGACCTGACTCACCAGACCTGTCTGGCGACTTGACTCTGAGCGACAACATTCACACACGCGCGTGCAACCTGAACTTCGGGAGCGCCTGCGCACGTTACCTGATATAAAACACATGCGTACTCCGCAGCCTCAGAAGCCGAGCTTAGATACACACATGTGCGTTTTGTACTTAGGTGTGTACACCGCAGCCTGAACGTACATATACGCACATCAGCAACATATTTAAATTACACTGATAATATACTCTTGCCACGGCAGCATATATGCATAAAAAAACAAGCAAACGTATATACACTAGAGCATGTGTGTGTGTGTGTGTGTACACAACAAAGGGTATATATATATATATATATATATATATATATATATATATATATATATATATATATATATATATATATATATATATATATATATATATATATATATATATATATATATATAATATATATATATATATATATGTATGCAAGGAGTATATATGCATACACAATGAGGATATAGGTGTACACAGTGTATATACACATATATGCACATAGTGAATGTTTATGCTTACACCAGGAGTATATATAGTTGCACAAAGAGTAGATATGCATATGCAAGAAGCATATTTATATGTATATACAGTAAGTATATGCATACAAAAGGGGCATACATATGTGTACACAAGGAACACATATATATACCTAACCATATATACGTACACAAGGTGGACTGCTTCTGTAAATAAAAAGTAAATCTTGGCGTTGTAAATTATTTATCAGCGTTTTTTTTTTACCATAAGTTGACACTTGTAAAAGAACACATGGGCGATGTAAATATATACATTATATACATTATATACATTTAAATGTGTTTGCTTTTCTGTACATACAAATGTATGTACAGATAAGCAAACACACACACACAGTGTGTGCGTGTGTTTGAAGAGGCGGGTCAGGATCTATGACTTGACCCCTGCAACTACAAATAGGTGAGTACAGTGTCTAGGATACCTGGCTTTCACCCAGGAGGGGCCCGGGTTCGATTCCCGGCATGGGAATTAGTTTGTAGTGACCAGCGAAGAGGCAGGGCCAGGAGCTATGACTCGATCCTGCAACCACAAATGAGTAAGAACACACACACACATACACACACACACACACAGAGCTCCAAGAATAAGAAATCGTTAAGGACCCTGTACACTGTGTACGTTAGGTCTATATTGGAATATGCAGCACTAGTTTGGAACCCACACCTAGCCAAGCACGTAAGAAAACTAGAGAAAGTGCAAAGGTTTGCAACAAGACTAGTCCCGTAGTTAAGACGTATGTCCTACGAGGAGAGGTTAAGGAAAATCGACCTGACGACACTGGAGGACAGGAAAGATAGGGAGGATATGATAACGACATATAAAATACTGAGAGGAATCGACAAGGTGGACAGAGACAGGATGTTCCAGAGATTGGACACAGCAACAAGGGGGCACAGTTGGATGTTGAAGACTCGGATGAATCACAGGGATGTTAGGAAGTATTTCTTCAGTCACAGAGTAGTCAGGAAGTGAAATAGTCTGGGAAGTGATGTAGTGGAGGCAGGATCCATACATAGCTTTAAGAAGAGGTATGATAAAGCTCATGGAGCAGGAAGAGTGATCTAGGAGCGGCCAGGGAAGAGGCGGGGCCAGGAGCTGTGAATCGACCCCTGTAACCACAACTTGGTGAGTATACACACACGCACACACGGAAGCTGACACATACGGCTGTGATACATGTACATAGAGATACACAGGTGTTTGTCTGAGAGAACACAAATGTCTGAGGACTACAGATGTTGGAGGGGACTAACACCTGTGTGTGGTGAGTGATGGCAGGTACACACATGTGCGTGCAGGTGAACATGTGTGTGTGGAAGCGTAGACGCTTATTTAGGTGTACACATGTAAGCAGAGGAGAGAGCATACAAGTGTACACGTTTAGGTGGAGAACGCGTACATGGCTCTGCAGGTGTAGATGGAGGGTGAACGCATACATCGACGTGTGCATGCGTACTTGAACAAGTGCATGGAGGGTACACGTGTACGTGAAGACACGTGTGCATGTGCAAGTGTACACACAGACCAGACTTGTCACAGAAAAAAATGTAAATAAACTATGAACATAAATATATTATTTTATTTTGATATCCTCCTTTATTGATGTTTTATTACTGTTTTATATATATATATATATATATATATATATATATATATATATATATATATATATATATATACATGTATTTGTTATTGTTGCAGTTTTATAACTGTAGCGTAAGAGCGCCTCTGGTAAGACGGTGATGGAGTGACTGATGGTGAAAGTTTTTCTTTTTCTGGCCACCCTGCCTTGGTGGGAAACGAGAGGCAAGAGCAGCGAACAGC